TATTATTTACAAAGACATTTTTTTTTTTTTTTAGTTACAATAACAAAATAACTACACTATATATAAATATGTTTATGAGATTGCACCCTGCCAAGTGGTCTACTCCAAAGCTGGATTGATGAGTTTCCATTTACTTATATGTTTTGCAACGATATGTTTGCTTATCGCCATTCGATATTCAATATTTCTATTTTGTTTAAGAGCATTTAGAAAACATTTTAGCGAAGGTCTTTTCATTTTTTCTCTAGATTTATATATAACTATTTTAAAATTTAATATAATATAATTCAAGATAGGATTATCTGAGCCCAAAATAATGTGCTGGTAGTTATTTTCTGGCAGATTTACACCAAATTTTTCAAAATGGTCCCTTATTTCGAAATAGAAGTTTTTTGATTCTACACAATCAACAAACAAATGATATACAGTTTCAGGATAAATAGAGCAGAAAGAACAAGAGGAATATTCTAAAATTTTGAAACGATAAAGATCACGATTGAGAAATAGTACGTTATTCAATAATTTGTACTGAAAATATCTTGAATAAGTGTCTAGAGATGTTTTATAAATTCTGTTATAAATCATAGTCCAATCCAAACTTTTTTCTGGACTTATTATTCGAGATATGTATTTTTGTGAAGTTGGTTTCTTAAACTTTTTCTCTATAAACCAATTATACAATACTTTAGTATGTAGCTTAAATACGTCAATATTGTTATTTGCTATATTAAGAGTCCTTTGTAACTTCTTTTTTCCACATTTTTTTCCTTTTACGAGAGTTTTCCATTCGTCGGGAATTGCGTGAATTATCCCGGCCCACTTCAAAAAATGTTTGTCTGCTAGTCCTCTTGATTTTGCATGTTCCCAATTGAAAAAACCATTATAATCGCATAAATCGTATATTTCATTGATATTCAGCTCTGAAAAATCTCTATAGAAAACGGAATTTCCTCCTATTTGAATATATTTGTTGTTCCATAGATGTTGATTATATACTGCATTTGGAGATGTACAATTCTCATCCGAGATCATCGACCATGCAATAAGAGCACTTTTATAAAATTGTGGAATAGTTTTAGGGATCTTTTTTTTGTCGAAGTTGTTTTGAATATGTCTAAAACCACCAATAGATTTCGTATATAACGATGGAATAAAACTAACTGTTGTCATTTCTTCCTTAAATTGAAATAGTTTTATTATCCATTTTACTCTATTGGCATTTAAACATGATTGAAAATCTGTTAGCTTCAAACCTCCCTCTCCATAATCTCCAATAAGTGTGCTATGTTTTATTTTTGGCTTTTTGCCATTCCAAATGAAATCTTGTATCGTGCTTTCGACAATTTTTGTAAACTCCTCGGGAACGTGAAGTACAGAACATACATACATAAGTTAAGGTAGGGCAAGTGCTCTCACAATTTGGATTTTTCCAAATAGTGTTAAATTGCGTGTCTTCCAGAGTGACAGGGTTGTCTGGAAGTTCGTTAGAATTCTTTTAAAATTATTCTCATAACTGTATTTATCATTATATGAAAAGAAAATCCCTAGTATTTTTATACCATCCTGGCAAAAATTGATCCATTTAAATTCCTTAAGGTGGATTTCTCTCGGTGGACAATGATTTCAACTATTTAGCCATCCGACTTCAGATTTTGCGACATTAATTTTTAGCGAAGAAAAGAGCGTGAATCTTTCCAGTTCTCTTAGTGCTTTTTGGAATGATGTAATATCTTTAAGAAAAAATGTAGTGTCGTCCGCGAACAGTAACATCTTTTTTTCCAGTTCTTTTATCCTGACACCCTCTATTTCCTGATTGCATCTTATCATTATGGCCATTATTTCAATTGTTAGAATAAAAAGATAAGGTGATATAGAGTCTCCCTGTTTTGTGCCTCTGTATATTTCAAAATAGTCTGTAACTTTTCCGTTATCAACCACACATACTTGATTATCTTGAAGTAAAATTTTAACCCATTTAATAAAGCTTTCATGAAAACCGAATTTCTGTAACACTGCGAAAAGAAAATTTCTTTCTATAGAATCAAATGCCTTTTCGAAATCTGCCGCAAACAGCAGTGAATTTTCATTTTTATGTTTTAAGTGTTCCATCATATCTTTTATTGTTCGCAGTATTTCCTCGATGTTTCTACCTTTTATAAACGCCGCTTGTTCCGGACTGACTAAATAAGGCAAAACTTTTGCCATTCTATTGCTTAACACTCTACTACACACTTTGACATCAACATTAATAAGACTTATAGGACGCCAAGAGTCCAGTTTTCTATTGTCTTTTCCAGGTTTTTCAAGTAAAGTTATTATAATTTGTTTTTGTGTTGTCGATAGTGAGCCGTTAATGTAAGCTTCATTAAGAGAACTCACGAAATCTTCCTTTATTTCAGGCCACAAAGCTAAATATAATTCTTTTGTCAAGCCGTCATTGCCAGGGGTTTTAGACGAGCCCATTTGTTGAAGTGCTTCTAGACATTCCCTTTCTGTCATTAATTGTCCGCATTGTTCTTTATCCTGGTCATTGACCAGTGGAGTCACATATTGCTATAGAAAATCCGTACATTCGTTAATCGTTTTGTCCGATCTGCTCTTATAGGTCGATTGATAAAAACTTTTTATTTTCTTAAGTATGTCCGTAGGGTTAACTGTTTCTGTTCCGTCTTCATTTATTATTTTTCTAATGTGTGTTTTAGCTTTATTTCTCTTCTCTAAATTTAAAAAATATCTAGTACTTTTTTCRCCTTGTTCGCACCAGGTTGCCTTAGATCTTATAATGATGCCTTCTGTAATATAMTCATTTTCCTCCTCTAACCTTCTTAACAATTCATCGTGTTCATTGAGCAACATATCGTTGTTCTCCCATCCTAATTTTCCCTCTATTTTTATAATTTCCGATTCCAACTGTTTGTGAGTTTCACGACGCTTCTTTGCAATTTGTTTTGAAAAATTAATAGAAAATTTTCTTATTTCATATTTGATAAGCTACCATTTTAATTGAGGACATTTTATTTCTTCCTTATCCAGATTTGATTTAATTTTCTTAATTATTTCTTTTATTTCCGCGCAGTATAYATCATTGTGTACGAAAGAATTGTTAAACTTCCAAAATGATGGACCTGCCTTCTCATTTTTGTATATGTTTAACTTCAGACTAATTGCGGAGTGATCCGTAGAAGGAGCCGGGACAATATCGGTTTTCTCGACGTATGGTTGTAATTCATTAGAAACAAAGAAATAATCTAACCTACGATGTATGAATTTATTTTGTTGGCTTCGAATTCCTTGGCCTTTTCCGCGCCAGGTATATCGTTTTGAGTCTTGGTTCCGAATTCTCCATATGTCGCATAAATCATAATTCAAACTTAAAGTTTCCATTGATTCAATTGAACGTATCTTAAGAGTCGGATTTCCACCACTTGCCTCAAGATTTGGATCGAAAATAAAGTTGAAGTCGCCACCCCATATCATGTASGTATCTATGGGRTAGTCTATTTTGCTAATTATCTCTACGATTTCGTTCATTAGCTTTACTTGATCATTCTCTAAGTTTGGGAAATACGTATTGATCAAAAGAAAATGTTTACCTTGTATTTCACTCCACGCAATAACATACCTCCCATTAGCATCTATTATCTGTTGTTTGATGTTATATTCTAATTTGCTTCCAAATAACATCGCTGCACCTTTACTTTTAGATGTCCCTTGAGACATAATTAATTTACCTCTTGTTCTTTTTGACCATTCATCAGTAATTTCTTCTGTACTATGTGTTTCCTGTAAGAAAGTAACTCCGTTTTCTCCTCCATGATTAACTACCCAATTGAGAATCTTTCGGTTCTTTACATATTCTCTAAGACCTCTCACATTTAAAGATAGTAAATTGAAATTAGTACATTTATCCATTTTCCTTAACATATACCCTTAATATTTCATGATCATTTGGCAGGGGAATCAGAA